CTTGATCTATACACTAAAGGAAGTCTGTGCCACGACGAAAATTTCAAAATTTTTCTTTTTGCTACCATGTTTTTGTAATGAACAAAGAAAACCATTCAAGGATTGGTCAGTGTGAATAAGCACGCTGTCCACTTTCAAACCGCAGCTGTGCTCGCAGTTCACGATAGGCGCACAAAATAGAGTTCTCAAGATCGCCTTTGACCGCACCTGTTTTTGCAGTGCGTCGATTTTGTAAGGTTGATGATGGGCCCAAAAGATATGCAAGATATTACCCTAACAATATTTGCAGCAATCGAGGATTTGATTCATTCCGCGGAAATAAAGAAGACTTCAAACATTTACTAAATGAACATTTTCAGGGTGCAAAATGGCCAGATTTCCAATTTTTTCGAGAGAAATCTGCCAGGCTGTCCTCTGAAATTATGACACGGTTTACAACAGCCCCAACAGCCCTCTGCATAACTACCGAATATGAGCTCTGCAGCTCTCTTCGTGCCGGAGAAGTTCCTGCACCAACAAGCCGAAATTCAAATCGACCCTTTTCCCTACTGCACATGCTGATGGCTCAAATGAAGTGCTGAGGACCAAACAAAATGAGCATACCTTGTAGACAACATTGCCTTTGCAGCAAGTTTGCAGGTTAATAAGATCAACCTGCTTGAAGTTACAGCAGTTTGCAGAATATTTCGCAATGCCCGGAAGCTTCCGTTACAGCCTAATAGTACAAAGACTGAATCGCGACGAGACAACTGTTACAACATCATTCCGTGTCGATCAACTTGCATTCGGTTGTGATACTTTTCCAGCCCGAAATTTTTGAATGTGAAATGAAAATGAATGGAAGTCTTGGCGATTAGATCGCGACGATTAAGTCGCGTGAAGTCTGTCCGGGGCCTTGAGCGTACTCAACTAGTTTTTTTCATCTGTCTAAGGCTTGGGCATAGTTCACGCGATTTCAGCGCTCGGGATTCTCCCGGCAAAACAACAATTACGAGTCTACTGCATAACGATCGCCTTGGCATTGCCGTTGTGATAGTTAATCAGATCAGTCGGTTGGAAAACTATCACACAACTGAAATGCAGGAGGATCAGCATGCAATGAATTGGCAACAGCTATTTTGTGGGAGGAATGCGAGTAGATGAAATCGCGTCAGTTATACCCGAGGCCTGAAGACCCGGGTATACTTCACGCGATTTTGGGCGCGAAGCGATTCGGCAGTCTGTCAGATCATTAAATCTGACGCTTGCAGATCACAGATGCGTAATGAGCACAGCTTTTGCAAACTAATAATATGCCCTATCTTCCTTACATTCAAAATTCGGCCACTGTGCGTGTCAAAAACATACGGAGCATTGCCAAATTCGTCGCCATGAAATCGCGTGAAATATGCCCGGAACCTAGTAGCTACAATTTCTAACCAAATCATTTCTCTGCGAGAATAGTTGTCGAATTTTCTAAACTCAAAACGTTTGCCGTTCGAATACTGTAAGCGCATAATGTCTCTGAAAATTTGCATCATGATTTTTAAGGCGCTTGATTATTTTGGAAAACCAAAACTTGTTAACAAATGGCTTTTGCAGCTTCCAAATCCCAGAAATTTTTACAAGTTCGCTTTGTTTCCATATGACTGAATTATTCTCAAATTTTTAAATGAAATCTTTGAGGATTAGATAAAGTTACAAAGCAAAAAAGGGAGTCTGAAATTTTGAAAGTTTTTTCTGCACTTATGAATGAAAATGGTCCAGTAAATGAGCGTTGCAGAAAAGTTGAAATGGAGGGAGAGACTTTCATTACTTTAACTAAGCAGGAAATGGTCAGAACTTAACCAGCCATTCCAAACAGGATTATATAATCGGACTCGCCTTGAGATGCTGTTTTCAAATACAGGTTTACTATCTGCCAAGCGATTGTCTGGACAGAGTTGCGGGCGTTATGTGCGATTTGTCAAGTGTTCTGTAGCGCATATTTTACAAAACACGTTCCAAAAACACTTACTTAGGTTTTTCGTAAATCTGTGTCTTCCTTGTAATTGGAATACCCATAGTCAATGTAAATCCGCGCCATCAGGCTGTCTTTCAATGACCTTTCATTAGAACTCGAATAATTTCTCTTATTTGAACGCTCGTAACTCCGTTCAGATGATCGAGATAATAAACATTCACTGGAATCAGCCTTTCAAGGCGATTCCGATGATATATGGGTGTTTTGGAATGGCTGGGTTAAGTTCCATTTCCTGCTGAGCTAATAAAACGGTCACTCCAAAAAGTAGCTTACTGCAGACCCCCCATCCTTCAAGCAGCGTAGGTTTATAAACATGGTCCACACAAAAACTTATTATAGCGAAAAATAAACTCATCGTCTTTCGAAACTTCAATATAATAATTGTGACCGCATCAGATTCAAATGGATCAAATGAACTAATATTCATATGTTCTCAACAGAAAACTTGAGGCTGTTCATTTGCAAAGAGTTCAAAAGAGACAGATAACGATCATGCCAATGAACCGAAAACGCGCCGACATTGTATGACTAAGCTTGATCTTGATATTTATGGATAAATGTAGCCATTTTTGGAATAAATGACCTATCAACGCCAAAGGTGCGCGCAAAAGATGTTCTGGTGCTTCCGGCGCTCGAGCGCCACTGAGGTGTTTCGACACCGGTTTAGACGCTCGTGCACACCTTCGATGCGGATTGGAGCGCGAAAAGTGGGACGTTCATAGATCATTGTTTCTTCACACTTGCCGACCGAGCGTAGGTGGGAAGGGATTAACTAAGGCTGGGAGCAGTTCTCAGATACAGTGTCACACGTTGCTTGCCTGTTTCTGAAATCATTTTGTCCCTCCGTAGCTTGTTCTGAGTTTGTTTCTCGCCGTCCTATTCGTACGTACCTAAGTTTCTGTGATTATATACATGTTGTCGTCCACACACAAAAACTAGTCTTCACTCGCAATTGTTCGGGATGGGGTAGGTTTGCCTGCATTTGTAGCGACTAAGGGTGAGTTCAGTTCATTACCGTTCGCTTTTCTGCTGCTCTGAACAAATAAAATATGTAATAGTAGCAATCTATACAAGTTTTGGCTTACGGCTATTGCTGCACATACTCTGTCTGCTTACAGCAGTAATGATTTGAACATAATCCATGATCAGTCATAATCATGACTTTCCACTTTTTTAGATATGGAATTTGGTTGAAGGACTGCTCCATTGCCAAGGACTGGGTATGACTATTCTGGATTGAAATTTATTAACGATTATGCAGTCAACAGAGCTTGCTATTTCCCGCAATGTATATATCGGTAATCTGTCATGTATTATTATTATTAGGTTGTCCCATAAGTCTTTTCATTTTTGAGTTTTCGTTGTAATAATTCACTAGCCGGCGGCCCCGGTTTCACTCGGGACCCCAGTTTAGCTAAGAAGAAGTTACTTATACTTACCCTTTTGAGCTTTTTCTGGGCTTTGAAACGAAATGCCCGCATCTCTCCGACATTGAGATTAAAATGAGCTTTACCATCCCCTGACTAATGATCATGGCAAAATGATTTGTGAGTATGTCAAGCCTCATTTTCCCAGATGTAAGTAAACAAATCAACAAATCAATAGAAGGATCTAGTAAATCGCCGCGAAAAGTAGCCTATGTTCTGCGCCGGAGTCCAAAACATAAGTGTGCAAATTTTCAGCTCATTTAGTCCACTCAGAAAGATTTGTATAAAAAACATACTTATTATCAGACAAACACACTTTGAGTTTTATATATATAGAGATACACTTCTCATTCTACATAGACATTAGGACACCGTTTGAGAGAGCAAAGCAAGCTCTATAAGAAGGCGTTCATGTTTCTGCACCAGCTTCGATCCGCCTCAAGTTTGAAACCAAAATCTAGAGAGTCATGTCCAGAAAGTTGAAAATTTTTTTATATTTTTGTTCAGAAAAGTCTTACGGAAGTCTCACTCGCTCATACATATATACTCCACATCGGACACTCATACGTGCTGTTGCTGTATTTTTTTATTGGCTAGAAATCAGGAAACCGAAAATTTCCATATTTTAACCAAAGTGATGCCGTGCTGTTCTTGCACTAACAATTGTATGCCACAAGCCCTTAGAAGTGCAACTGTAAATTTTTAGCTCTCTATAAGCTTTGTTTTCCGAGAAAAGTTGAGTTAGGCATGAAAAACCCAAATGAGGAAAACTGAATTCGATATTTCTTGGGAAGTGCAGGGAACGAAGGTTTATTTATTTATTTATTTATTTATTTATTTATTCATGCATTCAGTAAAGCGCCTAACAAACATATTAGTTTGGCAAGATTGTCTCAATTCGCAATAAACGGTGAGACAAACGATAAGTGCTGATTGTTCAAAACACAAGCTGTTATGCAAGTAAAGTTTACAAGCCCATCAATAGGTGTATGGAGTATCAGCGAAGAAGGATAACTGGTCATGTTGCAATAATAGTGTGATTAACTTCTGAATCACCAAGTAATCAAGAAACCCTCAAATCAAGTGATGTTGGTATAGTTATGAACCGAACTGTATAGCAGGCGTAAGACTGCAGACTTTTGAATTTGAGATACTTGTTGAATTCATTCCAAAGCTATCATCTTTTTTAAAATCCATTGAAGAAGTCGTAAATCCAATTTAAGCTTGTTCGTATGGTTGTAAACCTAACTACAATTTTGGACGAATGGGTTGTAAGTTTGCTAGAACAAAGCTGTCCGAAAAAGAAAAAAACAAAAAAGCAAATGTAAATGTTATTGCGAATGGCTGATATGACGATCGTGCAGTAAAACAGAACAGATCGCAATATAATTGCCTCTCAAATTCTTGTGGAGGTGTATTGCAGACTTTGCCTGATAATACGGATAAAGTTGTTAAACCTCCACGTTATTACTTTTCGTACTCTCTCGCTAACAAAAACCGCCACTCTGTGAGTTGATAAGACTCCACCTAGGAATCTGAAAGATACATATGATGTGGATGATACATTCTGAATGGGAAGGATGATAATCTTTGAGTATACATTTGCTTCATTTCGTAGTGAGGTAAGCTGGCACTTGGAATTTACAGTTCTCTCGAGCGGTTGTTCCCTCCGGAGGTATTAGGCATGCAGCGTTTTTGCTGTGAGATATGTTTTTTAGAGAGATGACAAAGCCGCTTGGCAACAAACCGGGAGAGCCGGCTTTTCAGTTAAAGGTATGTAGTTTGTGAATGAGGTTCTCTAAAAAGTAACGAAGTGCTGATTTTTTTTAGCTCGAGCCCGTGGATAGATTGTTTTTCAAATACAAGTTGAATGAACCATGTACTATTGAACTGAAGATTACTAATACTTCTAAGGATCGTCAAACATTCAAAGTGAGTTAGGTACATTTTGTGAAGCTCAAAAGTGTGCAAGCAAGTGGTTTGAAGTCTCCGCGTTTTACCAAAACTATTAACAGTTAGTGTAGATACTTCCGCAGCTTAGCTGGGCAGGAAAAGCTGTACGAAGTGAGTGTCAACACTGCAATGACAATTAATGCGCCTATCTTCTGATGACGTTTGAAACCCCTTCAAGTAAATACATTTGCAGTCCTTAGCACAAGGTCCGCGCGGAAGTCAGAAGCACATTGGACTGTTTTTGTAATTGAAACACGAAATATCGAAGACGTGATGCACTAGCACAGCGAACCTAGCAACAACGGCCAAGGCCTAATGTCCAACACAGAAGTACTGTTGTCGAGTTGGGTTTAATTTTGGGCGAAAAAAAGTATGTCGTAAAAAACGGCAAACATGGTTTTACGCGTTGAACATGATCTTTTGCAAGCGCGCGAATTACAAATGCAAGATTTAAACAAACAAATAGTTAGTTTACAACGCACAAACAATCACATGACACAGTATTTGGACTATGTGTATGCACTGTTACTCCCAACTGTATTCCAACCTTTTGTTGTTCTAAACTAATATCAAACCAGCTTGGTTGGTTCGGAGCATAAATAACGAAGAGTTGATTATTTATTTAATTACTCAAATACGCACTATAAGTGCGCCAAAGAAAAGGTTGCAAAACACAGTTGTGCAAGAACAACTATCTGACTTCCACTCCCTATACTAGCTCTTGTTGTAAGACCTTCAGCGAGAAGGTCGAGTTCAAGGCTCGCAAATTATGCAGATTTAGCATTGTGGACCGCCCTAATACAGTTTACGCAACTTTTACACCCTTTTGATTCGGACGACCGAACGCTCAATCTATTATACAGTGAATAAAGCAAATCAAACCATTGCTTATTCCTCTAAACCAAACATGCATGAACATGCGCTCTGATGGATATGGAAAACGATGATAAACTTTTTAATTCACCTTGTACCTTCTCTAACAATAAGATAATTCCAAAACGGCGTGGCACGTGTTCCCAAAGCCTGGCTGCTTTTCCTCGCAAGGGTACGTGGCACCTCCAGAAATCCTTTGAAACATCACACCTTCTTGAGGCCAAAGGGCGGCTCCGCCCATCGTTCCTCCAGGTGCCCTCATTCTCAATTGGGCATACGCGTGTAAGACGTGTATTGTTTTTGAAGATAATAGCACAAAAATCGAGAAACAAAAAAATTTTCAGGTTGAGGGTTTAGGATCCATAAATGACCACAGCTAAATTTCCAGCATTTTGAGTTACGTTTTCCTCTTTCGGATAAAATGACGCTTCCCCAAAATTTTGTAGGTACTCGCGCATGGTGAAGCACATCTATTAATATAAAGTAAGCAGAAGTTATGAGTCTACCAATCACAGTATATAACAGACAGTGTTTGGAATGAAAACTTATAGAAATACACAAATAATGGCAGACGAAAGTAGAAAAGTATATATCTTTAAATATCCTAACTAATGGAAAAAGCGTTGATGCTTATTGGAAACTTTGATATACTCCTTTCAAAATAGATAATGCCAATGTTGAGAAGGTAATAGGGTATCCACCACTTTTGGTCATTCAGTTATTCAACTTCTAATGCTAGATTACTTCAATCAAATGACCCAGGAATTTACAACTGCTCAACTAGATTCTCTAGCATTTCGAATGACCGAGTTTTCTATACAAAAAATTCTGTGCAATTCAGCTCTTCTAAGAATAATGTTCAAGTGCTCATTCTTGAAAGAATGGCGTAACGGAATACCGCAAGTGTACCTTGCTTTCCCATTGAGGAGTAAGTTTGGCAGCTTCCGTATAGCTCGTTTGCGGTCAATGTTATTGCTTCGCTCTTGCGCACTGGAGTGAGGGCATCACTATTCCCCGGACAGTTCCTTTTTTATTTTCATGTATATGCCTGCATGCGGCCCTTCTAAGGGCCGCATGCACTAACATCCCCGCGGGGAGGGGATCGCAGCTTAGAAAGCTTCATATCCTGAAGCTCCAAATATATGGATTTTACGTTGTGTATGTAACCGTATTATTTCCTACTATCCTTCACTATGAACACATTGAACAGCAGCGAGAAGCTGTACAAGCCGCAGTTTCCAGCATTTGCATGATCTCTGATGATCCCCGGCGCATTTCTTTGAAGTCATTTTTCTTTCTCTAAAGTTAACGAGAAGTTTCCAAAGTTGTGCAGATTATCTAACCCAACACTGCTTAGCATGTTGCTGGTAAGAACAAGTGATGTATCGGAGTCATGAAATCGATGAACCACAAGTCAAAAGTTGTGGTTTATCGAAAAATTCGATTTTTTATAAACTCATTTGTTCTCATCAGTAACATGCTTAGCACTGTTGTGTTAGAAAATTAGTACAACTTCGGAGGGTTTTCGTTAACTTCAAAGAAGCAAAAATGACTTTGAAGAAAAGCGCCGGGGATCGTCAGGGATCATACAGAAGCTGGAAAATGCGGCTTGTACAGCTTCTCACTCCTGTTCAATATATTCATAGTGAAGGATAGTACGAATACTTGCGGACAGGTAGACAGCGTGTAATCTAGATATCTGGAGCTTCAGAATATGAAGCTTTCTTCTAAGCTGCGATCCCCTCCAGCGGGGTTGTAAGTGCAAGTGGCCCTAAGTCTCCCTCTTATCTCGCCCTCCTTTATTCCATCTTAATCATCGGTCCATGATTTATAGAAGGAGTAATGTTAGCCCCTCAATCATTAATATTATTTTATTTCAAGATCTGCCTTTCACGATAGTAAGCCTCTCATGTCAAATAGAACATCACAAGCTTTCGGAGGATTTATAGAAGACTTTGTTCTAAATCTAGCAGCGATTTCGTGCCGAGCCCTACCAAACAATCAATATGCTTTTGACTTAATCGGAGGTTCTCTTACAAGCGTTCGCATTTCGATTACATGGCTTAGATAAACAAATAACTCTTATACCCTATTTGAACTGTACAACATTGCCTCCAGCAAAATTTTGTAATTAAGATTTGGAAACTTGTTTTGGTTGACCAAATGTTTGTAGGTTAGCACATAGTCTTTCAAAATACCACTATGCCAACTGGTTTACATGAAGCATTTACTGCGATTTTGAATAAGATTTTTGGAATTTCCTACCTCAATCTTCTTGCGCAGTCAACAATCCATGCCCCAACAGAAAATGTTTTAAAACACATCCCTTCCTCTTCCTGACACTAGCCAACTTTATAAAGCTATTGTGATCTAATGCAGCAGTTGCAATAGGGCTGCTCACTGTCTTTCCTTGAACTAGCAATTCAGTTTTTTCAAAAATTCAACTTCAATTTTCAATTTTCAATGAGTAATTCAATTTCCATTCGCTCAAGCTTCCCACGCGACGTGATTTTCGCTTTTCCCTATCGCTGCTTTTGATATTTTGAGTATCGGTTCTCATTTCTTGTTCTATTGATATTTTCCAGCAAAACTCGAATATTATGTTGAGAGAAACGTGAACGGGAGTAATTTTTGGAAAGTGACTTTTTGAAGCTTTTAAGTCGAACACAAGTAAAACTTTTTTCTCAACAAGCAAATGAGGAGGAATGCTAGGCTCTGCTTGAGACGTTTAAAAGAGATTGCAGGCGCAGTAGGGCTAGAAAACACGTACAGAAGTAGGACAGAAACGTAGTGTAGAGGAAGAGCAGGACAAAGAAGTAATGTTTAGACAGGCCGGAATGGGTAGTGGTACTCAAACAATCGCAAGTGAGTTCCCTGCCAAACTGATGTTCTAAAACTTCCGGGGGGCACTTCTATTGGGGCTGCCAGGTAGGGCGGGGCCCACCCACACGGCCCGATAAGAGCGTCCCCCCCCCCCCCCCCGAAGTTTAAGGGCCGCATGCACCAACATCCCCGCGGGGAGAGGATCGCAGCTCAAAAGAAAGCTTCATATCCTGAAGCTCCAAATATCTGGATCTCACGTTGTGTACGTAACCTATTCCTAGTATCCTTCACTACGAACACATTAAACAGCAGCGAGAAGCTGTACAAGCCGCAGTTTCCAGCATTTGTATGATCCCTGATGATCCCCGGCGCTTTTTTTTAAGTCATTTTCTTTCTCCAAAATTAACGAAGAGTTTCCAAAGTTGTGCAGATTATCTAACCCAACACTGCTTAGCATGTTGCTGGTAAGAACAAGTGATGTATCGGAGTCATGAAATCGATGAACCACAAGTCAAAAGTTGTGGTTTATCGAAAAATTCGATTTTTTAAAAACTCATTTGTTCTCATCAGTAACATGCTTAGCTCTGTTGTGTTACATAATTAGTACAACTTTGAAGTTTTTCGTTAATTTCAAAGAAAGAAAAATGACTCTGAAGAAAAGCGACGGGGATCGTCAGGGATCATACAAAAGCTGGAAAATGCGGCTTTTACATCTTCTCGCTCTTGTTCAATATGTTCCTAGTGAAGGATAATACGAATACTTGCGGACAGGTAGAGAGCGTGAAATCTGGATATCTGAAGCTTTAGAATATGAAGCTTTCTTCTGAATTGCGATCCCCTCCCCAGTGGGGCTGTTAGTGCATGCGGCCCCAAGAAGGAAGACGGTCTTTTCGCACGGGCGGTCTCAAGCGCCACCCTTATTGTGACTTGTCTTAAACTTCGCGCACGCCGCAAACCTTTCCTCCCATTGCCTTGCTTAAGGAAGCCACCGCAGTGTGTGTCAGTTTCCCGTAAAAGTCATTTGCGATTGTCTGAGTATGTAGACAGTGGCTCAAAGGCGGATGCCAGTCAATTTTTATCACAAGCACGACGCCTACTCCCTCTATTTCTTAATGCGCGAATATAGTTCACGCAAGTGCATTCATTGGCCAGTTCATTGGCCGATCTCAGCACCAGTAAACGATGTAGGGCTTATGTGAAAGGCTGTATAGCGTTTAAGCGGCGAGACATGAGCTATTACGCGTTTTTTTGCACTTATTGCTATTTCTTCAAATCAACTGGGTTCTGAGAGCATAAACTTGACGTTTCAGGTAAAGTGTACGGATAACGATATCTTTCGAGTACGTCCTCCCCTCTCATTTGTGAAAGCTGATGAAACAGCAATTGTTAAGGTAACAGTCGTTCTCAGATTTTGTCAGATTAGCTCCCAGAGCAAAATCTATACATTGCCCCTAAGACGTCGGACAGAGTTCATGCGATTTGATCGTCGCGATTCAATCGCTACAAGACAAGTGTTACGAGTTCATTGTGTGTCGATCTTCTTTTATTTCGCTTATGATAGTTGGTCACGATCAGTCCTCTTAGAAAACTATCACAACCGAGTTGCAAGAAGATCGGCATGCAATGATATTGTTACAGTTGTCTTGTCGCGACATCGCAACGGTCAGATCGCGTGAACTCTGCCCGAGGCCTAAGACTTCAATTTATTGCTTGTTAAGTTCAGATCATATTAACCGCTAAAACTCCCCCGGAAAACAATAGACATTTTTTTGCTGTTTACCACATGAAATGCACAGATACTACAGGCAAAACAGCTCGGCAGGTGAGATTATTGGAGAATAGACATCGGTAGGTGATCGGATTTCGCATTGAGGTGTGGACACCGGATTCAAAAGCAGAGGGTGTTGCTAGAATATTAGTAGTTTTCGAGCAGATAGATGCAGACAAGAAAGAAGAAAAGAAAGTAAGCAAATTAGAACTGGTGTTGACATTTTCCATTGCCATCAGGGGTCTGGTGAGAAGGAAGGAAAGAAAGAAGAGGAGAAGAAAGATGAGAAAAAAGAAGAGAAGAAAGAGGAAAAAGAAGAGAAGAAGGAAGAAAAGAAGGTAGGAAATGGAAAGCACTAAAACTCAGCTGCACAGCTGTATGTATAGGGATCTGGCGAGAAAGAGGGAAAGAAAGAAGATGAGAAGAAAGAGGAGAAGAAAGATTAATTCACAAGGTTTGTGCTTGAGAACAATGTAAATATGCGAACTTAAGTTCTGATTTGAAACTTTTTTCGCTGGTAACTTCGCTACACTGGAAATTGGTGCACATTCCTTTTGTACAAAAAAAATGTTGCCTAGTATTTTGAATGAAAGAACTTTTTTGAGAAGGGTGCAACATTTTCAGGCGCATGAGTTTGCGCTCAAACCTCTTGACTCGAAAAGAAAAGAGTATGACGGAATGATCGGGAAGCCTTCGAGTGTGCACACCTTGCACTTATTCATAATTATTGATTTTTTTGTTCGCGATGTCACGCAGAATTTAATTAACAGCATATCATTTGTAATGGACACTAGGACGGAGGTCATTTTAATGTTTTTAATTTTTTTACTTGAACGCTATCTCTTAAATTGCATGCCGCTTGATCGCCATTGATGCAACTATTTTTGCTCTTACTTTGCGAGGGTCGCACATTATAGTCTCACTAATGGCGAAAATAATCTCAAGATCAGGTCAGAAAAGCACTTTGATATAATGCACATGAGAGAGGCCACGGTAACTTATTGTTAGCATCCTTCCCTTGAGGTTTATTGCACAAACAGAAGTGAAAAAAACGTATCACTTAAGCTTCGCTATTTTATCAGTTCGCTAAAATTTCAGAAGTTGCAACAGGTTTCAAAATCAGCACATTAGGTTGCTTACCAAAGCTCGTTCGCAGGTTTTTTTGAAAATCATAACTTCATGTTCTCTAGTCCGATTTGCTGGCTTTTATTTTGTGAAAAGCCTAAGTCATGCTTTTCATAAAAGCGTCTCCTTCCCACTGAGCTGCATTGTACAGACAGAGTGGTGGAACAAAATTAGATACTTGGATTCTGGTTTCCGAGTTTGCGCGTAAAAAATCTGAAACTTACAATAAATTTAAGAGCGGTCGATAATGCAGGTTTTATTGCTTATCTTTCTCTTATAAAGTTTGCGCTTACTGACTGGTTCTGTGAAAAGTTATAATTCCGAAAAAAGTGCCAAATAAAAGATTTGCTGTTTTGTATTGTTTGCTCCAAAATCATAACCTTCCACAAAAACTATCGATCAGCACGAACTTTACTCAGTTAACCACGCTCTGGGAAATCAAAATTTGAGTAATTTTCTTCCACTGCTTCTATCCTACAATGTATACTTAGTAGAAAGGCGCTAAGACGCTTTTATAAAGGGCAGCTTACGCTTTTAAACAAAATAATATCCAACCTAAACCTGATTTTGCCAAAAGCTGAGATTGACATTAGTGCAGCATTTTGATTTGTAGAAGGGCACCAAAACATTTGCTATGAATTTTTGTCGCATAAAGTTACTTCAAAATTGGCAAATATTATACATACAAGGCGTGGCCTCCGCCATGGCTTGCGAATGAAATTCAGTAGGTAGGCTTTATGAATCATCTTTAAAGGTGTACAATTAAAGCTTTAAATATTCGAAGCTGCAGCAAAAACGGAAGTCAAGCTAAGATACTCAGTCAAAAAGGAATACAATAGGACATTTCACTAGATGAACTTCTAATTCACTTTTCAGAGAATGAACAATCGTCGCTTGTGCAAAGAAATTTTTGGCATGTTTTTGTCGAATAAACACTTCTTCCACGGTTTGTCCGAGCAACTTTGTTACGACCGCAGAGTTAATCAAGGCATTGATGCATAATTCTCAAATGTTCATAATGCAGTTTCTACGCCAACTTCAATCGACTGACGAAGAAAGTGCTATTACTAGTACTCCGACCGTATAAAAAAAGATGTATATCGCAAGATACCAGATGTGAGAAGTCGAGCTCTTGGCGCTCTTTGCTAACAGACAGCGGTATAAAGAGTAGGCATGCCACCAGCATGTCGGCGTATGCTAACAAACAGTGGCATGCTAACTCGCGAAGACGATATCTCTTTTGCCTTTCCGCTAAAAACGATAAACTTGCTTTGCTCTATCGAACGATACCCTGCATCTCAATCAAAAGTGAGAAATGTGGGACTTACTGCTCCAGAAAATCAAGACTGAAAAAACTTATGAGACAACTTAGCATTTCGCTGATAAGCAATAGCATCCCATCAGCGATAGTTACGGGAAGCCTTTTGGATTAGCAAATGCAATATCAGTGTCAGTAGTGCTTGCAGCAAGAAACTATGAGTATGCCTAATTCAGTGCATCCTTTTTCTGACACTTTCTTGGCAGAACTGTGAAGTTATAGAAATCGCAACTCAACAGCGTTAACAGCACAACTGCTATGAAATCCCTTCAATGTCATGACTCAAAAGAGAGAAATTCACGCTCTTTTTCGAAAGATTAAAAATTCAGAATGAAAACTTTCATAGGCTTTCTTTCTCCACAAACCCAAAAGTCATCTTATTATCACCAGGATTGTGTTGGATCAGTGCAGATAAAATTTAATTTCTTTCCCAAAATACATGATAAATTTCTAGGATGAAGAAGGAGCGAGCAGCGAAGGAGTGCTTGTTGCATTACTTGCTATCCAGGAGAGAAAAAACACTAGCCAGAAATTACGAGGAACTGAATGTTGGGAGAGTAAGATACATGTCAAAAAATAAGAGGAGAGCTGTCAGAGAAGAAGCGAAAAAGTTTTTGAGCTCGTTCTAATCCGCAATGGATTGCCGATATGCTTACATCAAAATGCTGCTTGCTTTGCTTGAAAACCAAAGAATGATGCATAGAAAGTATGAACTCACACTCAGAGAACACTTATTTGCTGTTCAAAGGCGAGTGGGATCTTGCGCAGTGAGCCGCAGCAGTAGCCATTTTTCCGCGATCACCCGTTTGTGGACGGATCTACTGCGCGGGTTAACTACGAATGTCTGAGTATTCGTATGTTTTGCCCATTTTCGTCTCAATCTAGCACCTTGCTCTTCTCGTAACAGAGTACCGAACTTGAAGCGTGGTTGAGAATGAAGCTTCTCCATGTTTTGACGTGTGTAAGAGGTGTGTTTTCCTTTGGGCTTCGCTCCTCTTTCGTGAATTTTCTGACACTTTTTTGTACTTCAGAATCTCGTTGCGTTCGCGGTATCATGAGCTGTCTTTAGAGAGAAATACTATTACCGTGATTAATGAGATCGCGTTCTGATGAGATTTGGTCCTTGGGCTTTCAGCTTCATTTCTACTCATAACTCATAGTTGCTCGCTCGTTCTTGATTACCCTCCTCGGATCTTATGAAAGAACTTCGAACATGGAGAAATGTACCTGGGTGGGAGTGGTATCACTTTGCAACAGCTTTCGGCCTTGTGTGCACAATGAAATAGCGCCCATCCTTTTACTTTCTTCAAGTTCGGAACTTTTTTCATCACAAGAAGCGAGGCACAAGAAGCTGAAAGGCGGAAACGAGTAAAATGTACTATGAAAACTGTTGCATCAAATACTACTTCGCGCCACTCAAAACCGGATGCGGGCGGTTGCAGCGCATGCAGCAAAGTTCCGGAACAGCTCCAGCACAGTGCGAGAACTGCGCTGGAAACGCTTCGGAACTTCAAGACCAGTATAAATCCAGTCTAGCCATCAGAATATTTTAAAATTGATCGTTTCTTGCTGTTTATCAAAGCCCTTGAAAGAATTTTGGCATTTCGCATTATTTGTGAAAAAAGTGCATTTCAAGTAAGCAAATTTTATGAATCAAGTGATGTAAATAATCGTGTCCACTTTGAATAAAAACCGTTCATAGCAATGTTTGCATTTGTTATATTACCAAATAAGGCATTTTGTTCTTATGAGCGTCATTATTTGTGTATTTCACACAATATTTCTTTATTGCGTGGTGTATAAGTTATGTGGTTTTAAAATGTGTGAATCACAATTTCTAACAACGGTTGCACACTGAAAGGTTTTGTTCTTGGAGTCATTTTACCATCTCTACCCATCAGCTCTGCTTTGCAAGTTCCAGCGGTTTCATAATGTAGAACATCGCCATCTTCGTGCTTGCGCGGTGGAGATATTTGCCGTGAAACTCATACAACGCTGCATACCATCTTGTTAAAAAGTTGGTTGGAAAAACCATTCATTCCAAAAGTTTTACGAGTACAATAGGGTATTTTCTGACTGAAATAGTTCTCAACAGAGGAGATGCAGGTTCCTGCTCTTGAATATGTATTTTGTTGATAGCCCTCGTAGAAACAAAATCGGCAAACATATGTTTTCGCTCAAGATTTCAGTCTATTAGGCGATAAGGAATTAGCTTATGCGATTACCTCTTTTTGATGCTGCGTCCGCAAGAAGCGAATTTTTTCAATACTTTGCTTGCACTTCAATCCCGGGCTAAGCGGATTATGGGCCGCGTTCGCTGTACGACCGATGATTCTTGGAGCAGAGCACTCCTCTTACCTACCGCGTCTAGCACCAGGCTGCTGTGGGTTCCGATCTCAGCGCGTTGCAACGTGGGTCCCCTCTTTGCATAGTCGGAGTAACAACTAAGTGTGAGCTAATCGAGTAATGCAGAGCATCCTACTATAAAACGAGCTAAAGCAGTCAGCCTTCGTGTGTACATATGTACATCTGCCTGTTACGAAATTCATAAATACCCTTCGGCTAAGATCACGAGCCAATATTTTGCACAATACACACTACCCGCGTGTAAGTCCGCTAAGCGAAGGGACTAACCAATTGATACACGTATCCTCCAAAGGTTGCGCGTCTAACGGGTCCATGCGGCTTTCGGTCTACATAGGTGGCATTTAGAGTTTTGGCAAGTAAATCCGCAAACTGTGTACTTTGGCCTCAACCTGAACAAAAATTCTTGTGGGAAATCCACAAAGGGATTGACTACAGAAACAATCTTGGCAAAGATGTACCCAAGAGGAGTTTGAGACATTTTGCTCACAAATACTATTTGATCGTTAATACTCTATTGATTTCATGTCTTATGCCGAGCTTCAGGTACCATTCCGTAAAGCGAGGTTCAACATAGATCTTCTGTATGGAGCGAATTCATCAGTCACTCTTCGTTACTGTAGGATTACGGTTTGAAATTCGAGAACGGTTTTAGGATGTTGAAAAGCGTTTTTTGCCTAACCAAATAAGCCAGATATTCTTATATTGGACTGTCGAAGCCGCTGACTCTGATTATGAAATCGCACTTCACTGTAATGCTTCTTTCATAAGTCAGTTCAGGATTAGGGTAACAAATGTTTTTTCAATGTTCGTCAGAAGCATGATTACAATATCAAAAAAGCTCGAAAAGTTGGTAAAAAGTTGCGTAGTAAAATCAGCACGCCTGAAAACTTTGCTACACATTTCCGAATTTTTGGAATGCTTTCAATCAAAAGGTCTGTTCGTAGCGCTGCATGCTAAAAGTTCTCACCCAATTCTACAGTAATGAAGAATGGCTGGTGGTAAGTTGTACCTCCCTCTACAAAATGGTACTCCAAGCTCGGCGAAAAACATTAAAGCAAGAGAGTTATCAACAATCAAACAGTGTTTACCTTTTTTTGGAATACCGTGTATATCTCACTGTGCGTCCTTACGGAGACTACGAGGCAATATTATATCCAAAAACTATTTTGAATTCGCATCTTTCTACCGCAGAAAAGTTCCTCCCTTTCAAATACTGATTATATATTAAATGAGCTTTTGAGATGAGTAGTTTTTTCGCATAGCGCGGCAATTTTAGAGCCACCCTCACGCGAGAAGGAAAGCATATAGACGCCAAAGCCCATGTGACACTTAAACAGAGTGATAGAAAGAAAAATTATCTTTTCTCACTTCTGCTACACTCGTTGAATTGAACAAAGTAGTATCTAAGTAAACTTATATTCAATTTCCATCCCTTTGCGATGTTAGAAATGGCGGTACTTTTTCGTTATTTAGACAGCCTAGGAATTTTCTCAATGTTTTGAGGCTGTTTCTTTGCCAGGTGTCAAGATAAAAACCAACAGTTTGGAGCCAGTTCGACAAGTTCTCCCAAAATCATTTCTGGTGGGGTTCAAAAGCGTTTGAAATGACTCGAATGCTTTTTAGGGGTACTTGGACAAAAGCAAAACAGTTTTATACGTTTATCGCAGCACCTTGGTAGCTTTCAGCAATAGTATCAAGAAAAGTTCCGCTCTTTGCATTGTCTCCGCCATGCGATTTCAACCGCGAAAGATTATAAGTCATGGCTCAAAGTACCTCGCTGCCGACTGTTTTGTCGTTTAGATGAAAGAACGATAGTCTCTGTTTTGGGAAAATCTAATGTGTTTATTAAACACAGAGTGCCATTTTCATAATGTTAAAGCTCATTCAAACTGTTGACTGAAAACGGCGGAATTAGTGAATAAAAAACAGACTGAAAAGCGACATAACTTTTTGAAAATAATGGGTCCGGATAGGTTAAAAGTATCGAAATTGCTTAGTAGTCAGCATAAGGTATGACTGATAGATACGAGTGACTTTGATACTTGGATGATCACGGATCGCATAGCTTTCTTATCATGTCCTGCACTCGGTTCATCATCTATTGAGAATTAGAATTCTTTGCAAGAAATTGTGTTTTAAAAGCACTTCAATGTCCACTTCTCTAAATACGGTGATCTTTTAACATAGGAGCGATGCATTTGTTTGCAAAGTGTAGAAAACGGGTAGCGGTAAAGTGCTTCCAAAGCTGACTTTAAAAGTGCTACAATAGAGGGAGCGTTAGTAATTAGAAAATTTTCGGAAACAAACATCACATCTCTTTGCCGAGCTAATCTGAGCTCAGGATCGGTATGGACCGGGACTCCGGCTAGTATTATGTAAGATGAAAGAGCACATCTAATAGAAATTCGAATAGCTCATTGGGCTGCTCTTCATCAAACATATGTCACCGAGTACTTGACTTGGTTCCTTCAAGCATTCATAACTTCTTTGAGAGATTTGCCCTACTTAGGCCCCGGGCAGACTTCACGCGATTTGGTCGTCGCGACTTAGTCGACTAGACAGTTAGACAACTGTTACAACATCATTCCATACCCGATCAACTTGCATTCGGTTGTGATACTTTTTCAGCCCGAAATTTTTGAATGAGAAATGAAAATGTATGGAAATCTTGGCGATTAGATCGCGACGATTAAGTCGCGTGAAGTCTGACCGGGGCCTTATGCGGATAGCTCTATTTTAAGGGCCGGGCATACTTCACGCGATTTTAGTCGCGAGGCGATTTGACAATTTGCCAGAAGTCTTCGGATCCAACACTAGCAAATTGCACATGCATAGTGTGTATAAGTTACGTAATGATGAAGTGCCCTATCTTTTGTGCATGTAAAGTATGCTTGCAGTGAGTTATGGACATTTGGAATATTGCCAAATCGCGTCGCGACTGAAATCGCGTGAAGTATGCCCGGCCCTTTAGGGTTTAGAAGTGCATTTAACTTCACACAGAGTATTTGGAAAGTCCTTGGCCTCTAATACTTCGGTCGTAAATTGAAACTTCTCCCTTATACTCATGGGTGTACCCCATTACTTGTGACTGTCAATTAACCAAGCGTCGCGCGCGACAGTTGTCAGCTGCGAGCAGAGCTCTGGTAGCCGACTTGCAATGCATACTATTCCGTTTTTTGTGAAGGTTTTTACACTCTTATATCAAATTTTGCTGTTTGTTGGAAGTTTGGCCTCAAATCTTGCAAGAAGGAATAGAGAGTAAATGGAAAAATGGAAATTACTCCTATATGGTCACAAAACATGTAATTTTTGTTTAATACAGGGTGTCCGTAAAGTATGTATGCACTGTTTGATCGTTAATATCTCTTTTCCCAAGAAGTCTTTTGCCTTGCTTCAGGTACCGTTTTGTAAAGCTGGCTTCAACTTAGATTTACAGTATGGAGCGAATCACCCATGTCTCTTCATTACTGTAGGATTACGGTGGAAACTTCAACGAGGGTTTTGAGCCATGAAAGGCCATATTTTGCGTCAGAAATGAAATAAAACAGCCTGGAAACTTTTACACTAGTCTAATTAGAGCTGCTGATTCTAACTGTAAAGTTTCCAACTTATTATGATGCTTCATTGAAGAGTTATGCCAGGTAAGAGGTAGCGGCCATTTTTTCAATATTCCAAAAAAGTTCGATTACACCGTTTAGAAGGCTTCGCAATCTTGTGAATAGTTGAGTATTGAACTCAGCGTCCACAAAAACCCTATTACACACGTTTTCACATTTTTTTGAAAATTTTTGGAACGACAGCTTTTTCCACATTGATACCATATGTTTCAAGTTTCTACCGTAATCCTACAGTAATAAAGAGAGATGGGCGACTCGTTCTATACTGCAAATCTAAGTTGAAGCCAGCTCTAAAAAGGTTCCTAAAGCAAGGCAAAAGACTTCTTGGGAAAAGAGATATTAACGATCAAACAGTGTATACATACTTTACGGACACCCTGTATAACAACGTGACCCTCAAACATGTCGTCTGGGACATTTCCTCCTTCCCTGCTGCCTCTCGCTCGGGTTACTGTAGCGCCGCGTCGCGGCAACTAACTGACACCCACAAGTAATGGGCGTCCCCTCTTTCATCCTAAAGAACCTGCAACAAGAATTAACTTTTTTCTGTTGCTTTTATATTAACGGGAAAATACGAATATGTTCAATCATGGATGCCAATTATTCTCATGCGCTTATTAAGACTTCCAGAAATAACTCGATGCTACTGATGTGAAGCTGACTTGACAGCGTGTACGAAGAAAACAACCTCATTCATTTAGCACAGTGAAGAACTGGACTAGAGAGTTTAAGTGAAGAAGGAGCGCAAACGATTTGCCTCCCCTGGCTGTTCGATGACTGCAAGCGATAAAAATAACCTGAGCGAAGTGTCACATTAATTTACAATCATTATTGTCACATTCGTCAGCGTAGTATCAGGGGTGTAGCCAAGATCTTAGAGTTTAGCGTGGGCACACCATCTTGTGAAAGATCTGCAGGAATAAAAAAGCTTCAAGCACTGGGTGCCGCTCGCGCACACTCTCAACGAAAAGCTAGCGTCTGGCTTCTGAAGAGGTTTTGTTTAGGATTCGGAAAAATCACAAGGATTTTTGGAGGCTGTCCGTGGTAGACGGAACATAGATCCGCTCTTACAATCCAAAGTTTAAAAAGACTCTACGAGGCTAGATTTCCAGTAGTGAATAGTCACCCGTCAAAGTCAGAAAGGAAAACGCGACTAGAAGGCTTTTGACTATCGTTTTTTGAGATTTAAGCAAGATCCTAAAGATGAGTGCAGAATGGTCAATGGTGAATACTATGTTAACTTTTGGATCGTCTTTTTAACATCATCCTCTCCAACCTCTCCTCTGCACTTTGCAAGAAGAAAGTTTTTATTGTCAAGATCATTCGCTCGCGCACAATCCTTTGCAACTATGGCAGAATTTCAAGAGGTGAGCTACTTGATCAACCACCCTCATGTTCTCCAGATCCAACAAACAGACTTTTTCCTGCTTCCTCCTCAAGTCTCACCTTGCTAGAAAACTTTTCAAGCAATGAAGAAGTCAAGGCCGCTGTGGAAGAGTACTTCGACTCCAAAAATCATTGTATAAGGAAGGGGTAATAGCATACGAGAAACGTCTTAGCAAGTGTGTCTTCAGAGAGATCATGCTGAATAAATATATGCTGTGCATTACGAAAAGGCAGTATCATAGGATGCGAAGGCTTCATTAGCCGCAGAGCACATAGGCGCAGGATTTGCAACGGTGAGGTTACGCGCGCATTGCGTTCGCGCCCTTCTACCAATATGCTTCTGCGCCTTCGTGGTGCAGTACCATTTAGTAGGTTTCTGGTGTTCATGTGTTCTCACTGGCCAGAATCTTTCAAAACGCCCTGTACAGCGCTTTTAATTTGCGACTCCGTAATATTCCTTCTTTGTAGCAACATAGGCGAGAATCCAATTTGAAAAGTGAAGCAAGTTGGCACTACATGTCTGGCTTTTTTACTCTTGGTATAAGAATTTGGCCCGTAGTAAACCCCACCAGGGCATCTTTCTCGACGCGGACCGGAGTTGATCTCATCACGCCTCAGTCCAGCGCCCAGTGAGCTATTGATCCGGATGCGGATCTCTTTTTAGACATGATAATCATGTTAGCTCTTGAAAAGGGAACCACTCGAGCTGATTTGGTCGAGCATATAAGCGATTGAAATTGAACGCGCGCGGCCATGGTTCGACACCGGTTAGCGCCACGCTTTTGCTGTATTGCAGGGCGCCTTTGATAGCGACCACTATCGGAAAATCGATGATGACCACTATCAAGGATTTCGCCTAGAAAAAACATGGATGAAACAAAAACGCATTTTTTTACGAAAACTAGCTGCCCAATGGCTAGCAGATGTGAGAAATGTTGTACTGAGTCACCAAAACCTCGTATAACACTTTTTCAATGCCGTAAAAGCTATTAAACTTCATCTAGTGATGTTTTGATTGAAGAGTTCTGCTGGGAAGGCATGGTGCGCATATAGTTCTAATGACGAAAGTACGACTGCTTGCAGAAGAAAGTTTGGAGTCAAGAAAGATGTCGCGTTTAATGAAGCTCATTCTCCAAAACAGAAATGCCACCTTACAGCTCGCGCTTTTTCTCTAGACTCTCTTGTATAGCATCCTTCACGTAGCTCTCTTTTCTGTGGCTTTTCTTAGCTGATATATTTTAGGTTCTTCTCGGTGTAAAATTTTCTCAAAGCGTTAGCAGCTTTTCCCGTCAAAGCATTAGAGGAGGGTGAGGATAATTCGCGTCCGTTCTGCTTTCCACATAGGACCACTGTCGCGCGCGGAACACCCTGCGGCGGCTTTTGCCTGAGCAAAGTAGGCGGAAGAAAGATTTGCGGCGTGCTGACGTGTTAAGACAAGTCAAAATCAGGATAGCGCTGGAGGCTGCCCGTGCGAAAAGACTGTCTTCCACAAGAACTTAATTTCCTCATCACTCTAGCCTCAAAATATCAGTTCTCCTTTCTCAGTTTCTTAGCCAAAATGCACTAAGTTTTCCCCTCTAAAAATCCACAGTGAAGTTGTCCACTCTTTTTTCGTTATTCAAGGAACTGTCCCGTCTGCAAAACCCCTTTTTTCAAAAGCTTATTGAAGAAAGTCACAGTATCCTCCACCCCTTCAATGTACTTCTAGTCAGTATGCTCACAGCGTCCCCCTTATCTTTCGTGCCAAAACCGCAGTGCCCGGCGTACGTTGGTTCGAAGGATTTTGGAAGACTAAGCCCGCCGCAGAATGCAGAAAGAATATAATTCGTGATTAGCACCTCAGAAAACCCCCTAGACCAAATTTCAGCCAAAACTGAACTGACTCTTCTACTTATACCCACCGTTGCCCCATCAAGTGGCGTTTTTGTGAAAAAGGAATGTATTGTGATCCCCATCGACCAAATCTCAGCCAAATTCACGACTTTGAAATTTTGGGCCGCGGATACAAGGATAGCACCGTTCGAACTTCCCCGCAAGCACTCAGATAATCGCCGGGGCAGGCGGTCCGCAAACTCGCGCTTTTCTGCAAGCAGTCGGCAGAATTTTGAGGCGTGGACAAACCTTCAGCGGGCGGCACTTCCTTTACGGTTGCATATTCTGCCAGCGGGCAGCAATACAGCATTTTCTGCAAGCGCATGGCAAATAATTTATTCCAGCGAGCGCTGGCCAAACTTTCAGCAAGCGCTCGGACTCTTTCTACGCAGTTTCGGGCGTACGTCGAGAAAAGGTGAGACTCTATGTAGCAGAGGTGCCATCGATGGTTTGATTAGCCAAGTTTGGGGTACCTTCTTCCAACGGAAGGCACCCTGGGCAGTGCGATCCTCCACAAGGACCGTGCGGCCCCAACAATTTTGCATGTTCTCGCGGAAAGACCGCGAGAATGCGGCCACTGTGCCGCAAGTTATCCACAGAAAGACCGCGATAGTTTTTCGAACATTCGTCTGAAAACTGGTCAACATTCCTCCAAATTTCTCCAAGCAGGCCGCAAGAAATCAACGAACTATTTTTCCGGTGCCCGCTTGCTCAAAATTCTCATGGCCGCCTCCCCCCGCGATTATCTGAATGGTTATCAGAACCACGAAAGATATCGTTCAAGAAGCAGCAACGTCTTTAACCGATACGTTAACTTTGAGGGCTCATAACTCACGAACCAGTGAAGATGGATCGGAGAGAATGGTACCAATAAAAAGAAGACAACAAGCTCTTAAGCGAAAATGAAAGTGGAGGTACCTTTGAATTTTGAGACACAGATTCTTTTTATATATAATAGGACCTGTGGAGAAATCAGCTGTTTTTGGAGTCAACATTAGTGGCAAAAAGGAATTCCTGAGTGGGGAATCGAACCCGAGTCCGGCAGCTGAGAGTCGCACCCCTTAGCCACTAGAATGGAGACTACATTGCATATGCAGTTTATGCGCGTCAATCGCCTTTTTTTCATTAAACACAAGAGGGAATGGGGTACGGTATTCGGGCTCACGCAACGAATTTAAAGGCCGGTGCAAAAAGTGCTAATCAATACGTTGCTGTTTTTCTGTTATAGAATGATTTCATGGAAAATTGAAATAACTGCAACATGAATCCAATGAAATAAATCTACAAATTCTTGCCTTGAGCAGTTTATCAAAGAAAAAAGTCAGTAAAATCTACAAAAAAGAAAAAGTGGTTTTTTCTTTTCCTCGCCAAAATCAGCTGTTCATCGATCCTCTCCTTTTCGGGTCCCGGTATTGTGCAGTTTTGCGCCGGTTTTGTCTGCACTTTTAGCCTAACTGATGTGTATCGTAAGTTACTCAGAAGCAATTTACGTGAGCCTTGTCTGTGTCTTCTCTTTTACACACTATTTGCATCACTCTAACATCAGTTCACTTCAGGTCACTTGAACATGAACTGATGTGCACGAGTTGACTGCAGCAGGTGGACAGATGGTCAACTATCAGTTCACTCACCATGCTTATAGCATGGGAAGGTGGGCGGTCATCAGCTCACCTGATGTAAGGTTAACTTCAGTTCACCTGAACTGATCAAGGTTTACTACGGGCCTTTATTCTTATTAGTAGAGTCGGGCTTGCGAACTATCTCAACGTTTTTTACACAAGCGCAGGTCTCCAATTTCCTGAAGGTGGCCCAGCTGCGATGTTATCAAAAGAATCCAACCCATTTTCAAAAATTCAGACAGTTTCTGAGAAAGTGTCTTGGTTTAAGTTGACAATTATGCTCATCTTTAGACGAGAGATGGGCATCGAGTTTTAAGCGCATTTTAACAGCAAAAGTCGGCTTTGTAAAAATGACTTAAGAAAGTGCCTTCCTCTAGATAAGACAATTCCACTGTACAAATACCGCGTCGTGCTTGTGCACACGCGATTTAGGTAGCTAAGCAGTTTGGCGATTTGCCAGATGTCTTCCAATCCGCTGTACACAAACTTCGGATGAGTAACTTCGAATGGGCATGATCCTTTTGGTTTTGAGCAACTGTTTGATTATATTCAGAAGTAGTTGGCTTTCCCGACCCAGCCCGGGCCGTTGTTCACCTGTAGTGCAACCCCCCCCCCCTACCCTCTTATATGTTATGGATAACTTATAGGCTTCGAAACCGCATCCTCCGGATCTTGAGGTGAAAATGAGCTTCACCGCCCTCCTTTACATGACTATGGTAAAATGTTTGGCTAACACGTTTCGGACCGGTGCTGCACATGGTGCAGCACACGCCTTTCAATGATCTTTTTGGTGTTTGCAAGAGGTTTTCTTTTTGTCCAAAGTCATCAAGTCAAAGGCCTAAGCTCCTCCTTTTCAAACGACTCTGTGAGGCTGTGCCGCTGATATTTGTTCAGAAGATATGAGGACAATTCGAACAACAGTTGCAACGAAGCGAACGACGCTGCGACGTCGCAACTTTTCTTTGCTTGGAGCTCAAAGAGAAAAACCCAAGTTCCAATAATGATGTGTATCGTGTACAACATAGATACTTTTGGATACAATTAGAAACTGAGTTCTTGTTCCTATCTTTCAGGAAAGCACAAAAGTCCTTCTCAGGCGACAAAATCAAACACTTCGAATTCACTCAAAACTTTGGGTATGAATCTTAATTGACACGCTGATTACAGATGTAGCACACACAGTATACAAATTAGGGTCCCTTTGTTGGCTAACGGCTGAAAGTATGTTTTGCTATGTTTTGCCGCGCGCGATTTCGCGGTCCGAAACGTGTTAAACATGATAATCCTTCAGTTCCTTAGAAAGACGAAAACAAATCAATAATTCGATAGAAGGACCCAACGAATAGCCTCAAAAAGTAGCCTATCATCTGCGCAGGGGTCGAAAAGATATGTGTGCAAAGTTTCAGCTAGATCGTTTGAGCGTCGCGCTTTTCTGTAACGCACATAGCCTCCAAACTCATAATTTTGAGTTTTATATATATACACGGTTGGGGGAAAGTCTTTGAACAATTTTTGATGTCATTGTATGTTCGGATTTTCCACATATTCTTGCATACTAATTATATGTATTTGCTTCTTATACCCTTACTTACAAGTCCTCCAAAAACTGGAATATTAGCTTTATTCCTGTCGGGGATATGTCTTCTGGAACGGAGCGATCGTTAGTGGCGAAGACGCACGAAGAGAGGATGGTTAACCAGCAGATTGCGCGGATTCCCCAAATTTTACAAATCTGCGTCTTTTCCACCTTATGTCGTTTCCAGAACATGAACAGCACGAACTGCTGTACGAGTGATAAATTGGCTGCTGCGGACACTCACAAAATTCTGAAGATCGTTCGCCAGCGCCATCGTCGCAATCCTCGGAGAAGCTCGATTGAGCTGGGTTCTAAGCTATTCATCCTAGTAGAAAAGTCTCCATCGTGGAACAAGGCCTTGGAATAAAGCTTTTCAAAATGCTAATATTTCATACTTTTTGGGAAGACACGAAGCCGATTTGACTGCGCTGATGCCATCGAATGCCTGAACGTCTATCCAAGGCACGCTACCAAACATAATCTTTTCTGACGTCAAATTTTTCACCGTGAAGCAGGTTTTTGATCGCCAAAACAACAGAGTCATCACCTAAACGCCTCAAGAAGCCAACAATAAGGGTTGAGTTGCAGAAGGAAAGCTTCATACGGTTTTTGTACAGTTTGCGCGGCGATCGCTTCCGAGAGAAAACTGCCGCTATTTTTAGGGTCTCAGTGCTCAAGGTGGACACTGCCATGCATGTGAATAGCATTCGGAAGGAGGAGTTGTCGGCCTGGACCAGTACCCATTTGCTGGGAGCGATTGGTGCTCACAGCAGGACAGCGCACCGGCGCACTAAGTGAAGGTTGTTCAAGCATGGCTCCAAAGCAACGTTAAGGACTTCATTACTCCTATTGAATGGCCTCCTTATTTGCCGGATCTGAATACCCTTGATTACCGCAAGTGGTCACTTCTTTAGGCCAAAGCTGCGGTCACTCACGCAAGACTGTGGAGTCTCTGCGACGTGCTCTTCAGGATGCGTGGGAGGAAGTCGACGTGGAGCACCTCCGTGCCACCATGGACAGCGTTTTCAAGCGATTAAGAGCTTGTATTCGCGGCGAAGGAGGAATCTTTGAATTGTAAAGTCAGTTTTGTGTAGCAGACAGTTGAGTAAACATTATCTATTGATTTCATATAACCATCTTGCCTAGATTCGTCATTACAATAAAAATGCTGTGTTCAAAGACTTTCCCCCAACCCTGTAGATGTGCTTACCATGAGCTATATGCAGATGCAGCCTACAACATATGCCTTTTAGTCGAGGTGGCCTTTGTACATGAGATCTATATAACTATATATGCCCCTTAAACGGCAATTGCAACTTTCCTCTTCTGCGGAACCACTCTTTGATTGCATTTGTGAATTTATGAAAGTCCAAGTTATCATGAAATGGCATGATATAAAAAAAAGTTATACTTTGACTGCGAGGAGGGGGATAACCTGTGGACATTCTCAGTGTTTCATTTATGCCACTTGAGGCTCAACAAAGGAGCTTTAAGCACGCATCTTCTTTTAGGACAGATGAGAATCATCGATGCTCTGTGATATGAGTGTCATGTGGGAAGGCCACTTCGAGTGAAAAGGCTTTTCTTGGTAGCCAAATCAGAGATAGGAGCGCGGTGTATTCTATCCCAAGTTTTACTCGCGCGTGCTTTGCAATTTCAGTCAGCGTAGACAACAATGGATGGTAGTACCTATCTTTGCCATAAAACCCAACATCTACCTATAAGATTTTTCTATACTGTGGTTTGCAACTGTTATGTAAAAATAGAAATACAAATCATGTTTGAAACTTTGGAGGCCTATAGCCTCCCAACTGATGAAGGTTATGACGAATGCAAGCGTTGTTGTAGATAATTGCAACATTCAAGATTTTGGCCAACATTGACAAACAATGAAAATGCTCGTTCACTTTACAAAAGCAATTGGACACCCACAATTACATTCAGAATAAAGCCAAAGCAAATCTCGCTCTCAAAGCGCTAGCAATGTGGTTTTTGCTGTTCGCATCTGTCTTGTTGGCAGAATACGTCGTGACTTCGATCGAATTTGAGCAACAAGGGACCGACAGGTTTGCGCCATATTTCAACAAGGCTAATCCGGATTGTTGTTTCAACATATTTCAGATGTTCCCATCCTCCCTGTCCTTTTCGCCCATCTTGTCGCTGCCCTCCCTGTCCAAAATATCCAATCACATCAGGTTTGGTATATATGCTCGACTTTTGCTTTAGAGGGGAACTTTATAAGCCATTGCCAAATCTTGGTAGTGATGTCGGTTGCGGGTAAACGCCCTGTAATAAGGGCAGTCGTAGGAGTTAGTGACTAGACCTAGCCGTAACATGTCTGACAAATATGTGGTACATATCTGATACAAAATCTCTTGGTCATCGGTATGCTTTCAGCGAATGGGCGTTGCAAAAGTGGTTGGACTTACTACAAGGAGACTGATGCTTGTTATAAGGTACGGGGCTTGTCAACCTTATCAATCGCAGTGTCGGGTGCACCAGCACTCCATTCCCTCGCGGAGCTCTGCATTTCTTTCGCCACCATGCTCTCTAATCATATTCAGTCATTGACGCTCCGTCTTACCAGAGAGCATGTTCCGAAAGAGGTGCAGCCAGACGAAGTGGCAACGCGGGAGCGGAGATGCTGGTGTTCACTGCAGTTGATAAGCCTTGTAGGTTATAATAAGTTTCCAGATTGAAGACAAGGCCGGTACGTCCTTTAGGTACAATTTCATCACTGATTGAACTACCTGAAGGTAATCTCATTCGAGGTTTCCTGTGAGCTAACCGAGATGCGAGAACTTCAAATCTGTCGATGACTTGTATTAGGTTGAACGAAAGTTCGTTCGCACCATTTTCAAAAAATCATAACTTCTCTCCGTCACGACGATTTTGCGCAATTTAAATTTTATTAGAAAGCGTAAAGCATGTAGTTTTCAAGAGTTCCCTGGCGACTTTCCAGCATGTTCAGATTGCAGAGACGAAAATAAAAAAACGAAAACATCCGAAATTCGGAATTTTTGAGAAACAATTCCAAAACTCTAGTAACTGCGCGATAAAATCCAGAAAAGCCATTTTCCTAATTTTTCTTATATTTGATTACTAACTGAGTTAAGTTTGTGCTGATCGAGCTCTTCTTTCAAAAGTTATGATTTTTTGAAAAAAAATGCCGAAAAATCAATTTCTTAGGAATTCTTAAGAAAGTGATTTTTCGGAATTTTTTTTCAAAAAATCATAACTTTTGAAAGAAGAGCTCGATCAGCACAAACTTAACTCAGTTAGTAATCAAATATAAGAAAAATTAGGATAATGGCTTTTCTGGATTTTATCGCGCAGTTACTAGAGTTTTGGAATTGTTTCTCAAAAATTCCGAATTTCGGATGTTTTCGTTCTTTTATTTTTATCTCTGCAATCTGAACATGCTGGAAAGTCGCCAGGGAACTATTGAAAACTGCATGCTTTACGCTTTCTAATAAAATTTAAACTGCGCAAAATCATCGTGACGGAGAGAAGTTATGATTTTTTGAAAATGGTCGAACGAACTTTCGGTTCAACCTTAGGCTCCCGCCAGAGTGCCGTTATGCCAGCGCTACGCCAGCATTTCGATCGATACACGTGTATTTTGTTGGTGATGTCAGCTAACCCCGCCCCAACGAAATACACGTGTATCGATCGAAATGCTGGCGTAGCGCTGGCATAACTTCGGCACTCTGGCGGGAGCCTTAAATTACGCGACGCCTTCAGTTTTACAAAGGGAAACGTACAAAATTGCAGTGGCCATCCGAGATGAGATATACAGCAGATTCCTCGTGTTGAGATGATATCCAAAACAACGTTTCATCACTGCCAAGCGACATTGCCTAATAAGTTATGACTAGGGTCGAGCAAGAGGTTGGGCACACAATCGGATAATCGCCGGGGCAGGTGCTCAGATAATGGTCGGGGGCAGGCGGCCATACGATTTATGGGCGGGCGGGCACCGGAAAAATAGTTCGCTGATTTCTTGCGGTCCGCTTGCAGATATTTGGAGGAATTTTAGCGAATTTTGGACGAATGTTTGGAGAACAGTCGCGGTTTCCTTATGGATTAGCTGCGGCGCAGTGGCCGCATTCTCGCGAACTTTCCGCGAAAATATGCAAAATTTTCGGGGGTCGCACGGTCCTTTGTGGAAAACCGCGCAGCCCCCCGGTACTTTCCGCTGAGAGAAAGTACCTCAAACTTGAGTAATTAAACCAACGGTGACACCTCTGTCACATAGAGTCTCATCTTTTCTCGGCGTACGCCCGAAATTGCGTAAAAAGGACCCGAGCGCTTGCTGAAAGTTCGGCCAGCTTTTGCTGAAGGAGATTATCTGACGAGCGCCTGCAGAAAATTCTGTGTTGCTGCCCGCTTGCAGAATATTAGACAGTAAAGGAAGTACCGCTCGCTGAAGGTTTGGCCACTCCCCAAAATTCTGCTGACTGCTTGCAGAAAAGCGCGAGTTTGCGGACCGCCTGCCCCGGCGATTATCTGAGTGGTCAGCAGAATTTTGGGGCGTGGCTAGCCTTCAGCAAACGGTACTTCCGCGTTCCGCCAGCGTTATACAGAATTCTCTGCGAGCGCTCGTCAATAATTTGTTTGAGCGAGCGCTTTTCAAACTTTCAGCAGGCGCTCGGACTCTTTTTACGCAGTTTCGGGCTTACGCCGAGCAAAGGTGAGACTTCGTGTGGCAAAGGTGCCATCGTTGGTTTGATTACCCAAGTTTCGGGTCTCTCAGCGGAAGGTGCCCACGAGCTGTGCGGTCCTTCACAAAGAACCGTGCGGCGGCCAACATTCTTGCATAATCTCGCGGAAATCCCACGGGAATGCGGCCATTGCGCCGCAGCTAATCTATAAATAATCCTTACACGTTCGCCCAGAAAATGCCTAACATTCCCCAAATTTCTGTAATCGGACCGCAAGAAATCAGCAAACTATTTTTCTGCACCCTCTTGCCCATAAATTGCATGGCCGCCTACCCCCTGCGATTCTCTGAGCAAGTGCCGGATACGACCCTTCCCCCCCCCCCCCACCACCACCACATTACCACACCTTCCGAAGGCACGGTATAAAGGCTCTACCATGCATGACTAGGCACACATTCGTAGCTATTATGTCAAATGACCCTCATGGGCCAAATTTCAGCAAATTTTGAAGGTCTTAAGGATCACCCAAGTGGTCAAACATGATTAACTACATCTCAAAAGTGTACTAGCTAACTCTTTTCGTACTCAGTGCAAAGCACTACCGCTATTTACCCCATACCATAAATCGTGTTTCAAATAACCATCTAACTATAGATTAGAAGCAGGCCAAAATCTCATTTGTCCCATTTTTCGCTTCCAGTGGTTGCGTTTTCACTAGCTTTTATTCAGAGCGAAGAAGATGAATCAAGCCCAAGTTACTTTTATAAAAACTACAGACTGAGGCTATCAAACTATATGTATTTTGTTCGCTAACATTCTTTTTGGAGGTAAGTCAGTGAGATGCGGCACAACCCCTTGAAAGCTGTGGCTGCCACAGCTTTCTAGGGGTTGTGCCACACCCCATTAACCTGCCTTCAAATCATTCAAATCCCTGCGTTTCTTGTATCGTTGCTATTACTCAATCTTCCTCTTTACATAATAGGAAAACCATTTGAAAACGTCTCTTTTAGGGAAAGATATAATCGGTTTTCCTTAACTATGCAAATGAAAACACTGCGAAAATATTGGGTCACGGTAATATGCCTAATTTGCGCTACTATGTAAATCGCCATGTAAGGCCACAAAAATGAGTTTGTAATAGCCTAACTTTCGTAGTTTACATTAAAGTGATTTGAGCCTAATAGGTCTTCTCTAATCTGGGATATTGAAAGCGGAAAACGGAGGAAATAAGATTTTCCTCATCTTTGAAACGAAAGTAACGTGTTTATAAATGACTATCTCACTTGGATGGCCCAGTATTTGAAAACCTCAGAAATCGCTAAACTTGGCCCACAGGGATTATTTGACATCATATTTACGAAAATTATGCTCTTATGCTTACAGTGCTCTCTTATTAGGCTTACGTGGTACGATGGTCGGCCAAAACAGATATGCTAGTAATTTACACAGTGCCTATCTGACATTCTTGACGAATATCATGATATCGCTAACACCAGCTCACCTCAATAACGACCCCCCCCCCCTCTCTCTCTTCGACCGCTCTACGAGCCCCCAGGTGTAACGTGCCACCCTCCCCCGCGCTTAACTCTGGTTATGATGTTCGAAATTCCAGCTGCGAGTCCCGACGCAGGCGCGTCTGATGGTTTTTCTTTACAGTCGACGTTGGTGTAGTGATGAATAATTTCGTCCTGGAATTGTTAGGTAGTGCGCTCAAACTTCTTTTGCAATCACCACAACAACTTTTAGTTTCTTCGCGAAATAGTTCGTAAGTGCTGAAATGAGTATTTTTTAAAACACTAAGGTGAATAAATCACAACAGCAAAAACGCTGTTCTGTTTTTCTGGTATATAACGGGGAAAGCCCTCTGCTATACGGACCTCAAAGTCTGAAAAGCGACTCGGCGTGAACTTCGTTTACATGGTTTGTTTTGTTTTACCTGACATGCTGATCGCAAATACCACGCTGTTTTTACAGAACGAGAGGAGGCCAAAATTTAAAAGAGCTGAAAAAGTGTGTTGGAATTTAGATTGAACACGATTTTGATATCTCTCTTTACCGTGCGTCAAAATTCTTGTCGCACGGTAAAGGAGATATTGTATCTTCAAGCGTAGTAACTTAGGTATAGGACGGTCGCCAGGGGAGGTCCGCGTGGACATTCGCAACAGATGCACACTTTCTCTCCAACCACACCTAGTGTGTTAGGCTGCGTTCATACTGGGAAGGTCGGGAACAATGCGCTGTGCTGGAATTGTTCACGAACCTCTTGATCAGGATGAAAGCAGCCCTAGGTATGGCGCTATCTACTCCTACCGTGCGGCTGCGCGAGCGATTTGCGCGGCAGCGAAGTGGCGTAGGGCGCTCAATCCTTCTTAAGGGTGCAGTGTTGTTTTCAATAGCATTTTTATCGCATCAGTCCTGCTGATATAAGGGAGTTTTGCTACCGTTTATTATAGAAAGATTAAATGAACTACTAACAAAGGTATTGGATTTTGTTTCGCTAATGTAGCCGTCTAACTTAGCTGTAACAGGTGTTATTAGACGTATACCCTTCAGGTTTAAAGCTCATGCTATTGTTTTTCTTGCGTGATAGAGAATAGAGAAGCTATTGTTGTTTTATATTGACCTCACTTCTTTAAGCTGAGCTCACCTCAATGTGTAACTGCAAAAAAATTGGGAAGCTTCATTACAATCACATCATGGTGAGAGATTGGAGAAATAAATGAAAAGAAAGAGCATTAAAACATAACTACCTACCCTAAAATCCCGCCAATAAGTCCGCCTAACAGGTAAGT